TACCATTCCTGATATTTAGATTATTTTTTAGAGGATACTGCAATGAACATCTGTTAGGTGTATTCTTCATTTCTATTTCTTATCAAGTTTAAGTGGGGTTTTTTTTGTCCTTGTACTTCTGTCTTCCACTCTCTTAGACTAATTAGATCACTGGTATGAACTTTTTTTGTATTTTTTCAGATTGGAGCATCTTCTGAATTTTGTGCTTTAAAAATGCCTTTAAAATGAAAGAGGCCAGATTTACAGACAGTTTTGTCATCTTGGATCAGTGAGATTGGTTACCTTGAAAGAAGAAAAGACATATTATGGGCCCATATTAGGAGTTGGAATATTCTTCAATATAACAGGGAGATATGTCAGGTAGCGGGAGCTGTGGTTTGTTTTAATAGTTTATTATTAAATAGCTACAATAATCTGACCCACATTGAGCAATCTAGTTTCCCTGTAGATCTTTACCAGGAATGAGGCAAAAGTTCCTTTCCTGTAAGAGGGACCAAATAGCTGAAACTATGAAATTAAAACTATGCCATGGGTAGCAGTAATGAGGTACAATGTCAAACCTACTTAGGTTGTATAATCAAAATTTCTTGCTGACACTGAGAAAGGAATAGTTCAATGAAAACTTGAGGGAAAGGATGGAATATTTATGTGAAATCTGGCCTAATACATTCATAGTATTCATATTTCTCCTCTAATTTTGTAGTTCTGGTTGTTCACGTTTCTCTTGTGAATTGGGATGAGCCTGTCCTGCTGGAAAAGTTAAAATCTAGAAAGTGAAGATAACAATACATGTTGCTGTATGTCCTGTAGCAATATAAACAGCTGGATGACTGTGTACTGAGGAAGAGAAATACAAGTAAGGGTGGCAATACTGTTTCTTCTTTTTTCTGTTCTTGATTGCAGGTTAACTTTCTGGTTGGGACTTTATGAGGGTAATTCATTATGATAACTTTTTAGTGTGGTAGATGAGCTTTCAATTTTTTCAGCTCATTTTTAAAGCAAAATGACCTTGAATTAGCCACTTCCTACCTCCTGTGGTGGCTGTGGAGATTACCAGTTACTGCAGAACTTCCCTGAAATAAAGACTTTAATTGGCCTGAATGACATTTTGGGTATGGTACTCCACCCCGTGGAGAGCCAAGATGCTGTTCCCTAAATAACCATATGGTTTCTTTAGGCTGAGCTGTGTTGCTGAGCCAGAGGAATGAGACTCTGGTGGGGAAGAAGGGGGTATGTAACTGCTGCCATCATTGTTAGGCAGAGCACACTAAATTTATGACTTTTTCGAACTTTGTTCAGACTAAGATGTGGGGCAATCTTGAATCAGGATCTGAACTTTATTTTGTCTCACACCATTATCCTTTTTCAGTTGTTTGTCCTCCTTGGAACTCCTTTTGTCAGATGAAAATAATTAATTTACCACATAGGCTTCTAGTTGTTTTACTGAAATAATTACATATGGTATATGCATCCAGCCCTCACTGAAATTCCATCTGAGGTGTGCTAGTAACATTCTACTGTCATGGTTTCCCAGACATTTTTAAAATACAAAGGCGCTTTTTTTCCTCTTTCTTTACAACTGGTAATGTTAGATTCAATCTATCATTGTGTTAGAATTCGTGTCCCACTTTAAGAGGTCTTTCTCCCTCTTGTATTAGTTGCACTGTGTAAGTATTAGTGATCAAAAGAAGCTGAGTGTGTTTTTCTGAAAATGCACAGGAAATTCAGTGTTAAAACTACTTGTGTTCACTTCCTACTTCACTGTAATTCTTTGTGATGGGTATTGTTAACTTGTAGTGCTGCAGTGAACTCTGTGTGGGTGTCAGAAGTTCACTGCAGTTCACAGTGGAAGCTCTTGATTTCCACTGTGAAGTTCTTCCTACTGTATTTCAATTTGTGTGCAGTTCAAGAATTCCTTTAGGAATTCCTAGTTAGGTTTTAATGTTTAATTCTCAGTTTTCTTTTTGTTAATATGCATCACTTCAAAAAAACCCTCATGGCAACAGTGAGCATCTGTCTGCCTCTGTCATTTCTCATCACTCTGTGCTTGCATCAGGCATCTGAGGCCAAATTGCTTTGACTGACAAGATCTTGGCTCCAAACACACACGCACGAGCATGCACACACAGGCAGGCTCCTTGGCTCCATTCACATTTCAGTATTTTTACGTGGCAGCTGAGGCCCCAAATACAATGAGTTTCAGTGGTGAGTGATGGTGGTTGTAGAGTGAGGAAGTCTTAAGATGTGGGAGAAGAGAAGGAGGAAGCTCTTGGGCTGTTTGCTTCCTCACCTTCTTCCTTTCTTTCTCCTCCTTCCTGTCTTGCTGGACTTTTTGCTCAAGGTGCTCCTGAAAGGTGCAATAGAAGTTCTGTGTGACTGGTAAATTATTGATGGAGGCTTGGGAAAATTGCAGTAAGTCTTGGTGATCTGCATGGCTTTGATTTGGAGCTGGTAAATGAACACAAACAGTGTTGTAGTGCTGTCTCTTCTAAATCCTGAATTTTCCATGAAGTAAATCCTGTGAGGGTTTTTTTTAGTCATGCATATTGACCAGAAGAAAACTGAGAATTAAACATTAAATGCTAACTATTAAAGGGATTCTTGAACTGCACACCAATCTAACTACAGTAGGAAGAACTTCACAATGGAAGTCAACGGCCAGCATTCACTAATTTTCTGGTAGTTAAATAAGGATTTTAATTTTTTGTTGCTGTTATTCTGGAGTATTGACAGCTGAAGAACAGTTCCGAGGTCGGTGAGCTTACGTTGCTGTTAATAACAAAGAGGTAAATTTCAGGTGTCAGAAGGACTTCATGTATTACTAAAGATCTGCGTCATTCCTTGTGTTCTCTACATGTGGAATTAGTAGGGGACTTCACACTTCAAAGAATGATATCTTTTGTTAGTGGTCTCAAGAGAAACAGTTAAAGGCATTAACAGAAACCAACAGCCAATGTTCTTCAGCTTGTGATGGTATTAGAAAAAATCCTGGTTATTTTCTGAGCTTTTAGTCTTTACAAAAACAAGAGGGCTGTGCCATTAAGGAAAATTGGAGCATGCTCTCTACTTCTTTGTTTGAACAGAAGTGTTTGGGAAAATAGCTGAAGAGGCTTCTTAATGAATGTATGGTTTGAGTTTTGACTAAACTTAGGTAGAAATTCGTGTCTTTCAAGCATGTAGTTGTACTGTCACCTGTAATGCCTCTGCCTATTTCAACACCGTATTTGGAAATGAAAATTTGAAGTCCTTTTTTACAACTATAATTACTTTGTAAGATGTTATGCAGGTATTTATAGTTGATAGTGAATCTAGTAAAGCAGCAAGAGATGTCATTGTCATGTAGATTGGCATTTTTGTGGTGATGTATATGGTAAAACAAAACAAAGTTGTGGAGAATTTGTTCTCTTTGGGCAGGTAACATTGTAGTAACCTTCATTATTCCTTAAGAAGTGTTAAAGAAAGCAACCAAAGAAATGGCTCATTGCAACTTAATGCTCAGCAGCCTAATTAGTCAAATACCATGTGCCTACCTCTGCATGAAATAGCCTATTTCTTTCCAATGTAAAATAGGAATTTTCAGTTTTGGAACAGCCTGAAGAGGCCTTTGTTGCAAATGACCACTGGCTTTTTAGTTATTTATTCTCAAAAATAATGAAGGTCAGCATGGTATCCATAGTGACTGCATGCAGCTTCCTCGTTAATCTTGGCATGCTGCTGTAATAATGAAATTCACTTACTAGTTACAATTTCTCGTGTTCCAGAGGGAAACCTTTCTTTGAAAACTGAATGTGATTGGGTTTCTGTAACAAGAAATCTTGACTACAGTAGTTTTTCTTCAGATTTAAACTCCCTGTCATAATTTCTGGTTGTATGAGTTGTTGTAGAGGTCTAAACAGAGAAAAAACAACCTTGAATTGCTGAAGTTTATGTATAATCTGGCACTGAAAAACTTGTGACTTGAAAAATTATTTTCATTTGGAAGTGATAAGGACTGCTAAATAGGGAATATATCATTCTGCTTGCAGCTCTGTTAGTGGGAGGAAGGCATTCTGCTATAAACTACAAAATTAAAGCTTCTAAGTAGTATGTGAATATGATCAAGCCAGAGTGGTTGAGTGCTCCCAATTCCATGGCGTGAAATCAGAGCATTAGGAGAAAGTGTACATTACACCAAAGTATTTTACCAAAAGCATTTCACCCAGTTGGTTGTTACACTATTTCCTCTTTGAATATTATACAGTATAAATACTGAATTTTAATATGATAAAGAGAAACTGAGTGCAAGTGTTGTGGGAGTTCTGATAGGAGCTTGAAGATGGGGAGTGAAATGGTTCCATCCTGAGGTTGCTTTCCCTCTCCTTTAATGCTTGCCCAAAGAGAATAGGTTTGGTTTGGGTTTATTTTAATCAGTTAGTTGTAATAGAGCTTTAAACTGATCAGGCAGGATTCTGACCCTGAGGGTAAATATTTTCAGAATTCTGTCTAGTTTCTGTTTCTGGTATTTCTTCATTAAGAACTTGGCTTGTTTTTGCTTCCGTCTTTAATTTTGCATAGAGCTGTATTTAAAACCATAAATATTTATGAGAGAATAGCCATTTTCAAAATTCATGGGAAAGTTCAAAGTGGACGTCTGTTTTTGAGAGCTCCAGAAATGAGCCTATAGGGAAGTAAAGTCAATGTATCTTCAAAATAATTATTTTATGTCTATTTTAAATGTATAAATTAAATATATATTTATAAATAAATATAAAATAATATATAAATAAGAATGAATCCATTTGAACCTAGAGACGTCTCAAAATGTATATTGAAATTGAGAATTTTTCATCTAGTTGCTACATGTAGAAATGTTAATTTAATGTAAGTTGTGTGTGAATCTAAAACTGTTTTCACTACTGAATGTACAAACATGGTTTTTTCAATATTAGCTGAACAGTAATTGGCTGGAATGCTACAGAAGCTAATCTTAAATCCTGTCTTCTTTTATTTCCCTCTCCTAGAGGTGACCAGCTGCTCTGCACCAAGGCCCTGCAGTGATGTATTGTAGTCTGTTGCTGTAAACATCCCCGACTGGAAGCTGTACCTGCTCCAGCTTTCAGTCAGATGTTTGCTGCACCTGGCTATGCTTGGACACCAGCAGAAGGAGAAACTGTCGTGAATACATGCATGCATTTATATTTGTCAAGCGGTGTTTCTACGGACAGAGATGGATTGCCTCCCTGTGAATTATCCTGGCTGGTAGGTGTGGTCTCCTGAAATCTGATCTGAGATGGAGATCCAAGGCTGAGCTCTTTGCTGCTTTGTGTTATAAACTACAGGATTAGGCTTCCTTGGAATGACCAGTGGTGGTGAACTTCTGCAGTTACCCATGAACCCTTCATTAATGGTCTGTTACTTAGGGCTGTGGGGAAAAATTATTATCAATGCTGCCCAATACTTAGTAGGCCTCATATCTGCTGTGCCTTGCTTTTTGTTGTTTTCTCTGGAATTCTGTATTCCAAGTCTCCTTGTGAGAAGGTTGTGCTCCTAATTGTTAGCTGGGCATAACCCAAGACCAAAATAAAGGTTAAAAACATATCACCTAGTCTGTTTTTGCTGTTCTCCCAATCCATGGTGTATGGCCTTGTCTGTGGTGTGGTTTGTGCTGCCCCCACCATGGTTTGCTTTTCATGGAAATAACAGCTTTTGAAAGTATTCCTTCAGAAGTCTTCACTGGTTCAGTTCCTGAACAACTTAAAACAGTCATGACATCAGGAACAGTATCTGCAGAAAAGCTTCAGCTTTCCACTTTTATCCAGTAGGATCTGCAGAGGCTGCTGCCTGGATCTTGCCTGGGATTTCTTTCCTTCTTTGTTTCACTCTAGTCTTCTATTTTTAAAGGGATGGCCAATGAGAGTAACTGCTGCTAATAGAAAAAATATTCTTGCAATAATCCAGCTCTCTGTTCTAGCCCCCCCAAATTGTTATTTTTTTATTCCCTAATACTTCATGAAATACTTTGTTGAATTTAAATGTTAGTATTCCAAACCTACGTATTTATTTGTTTAGGTTCACTATAGTGGTTCTGTAAAAGATGATTATGACCAAAAATACAGATACTTTTAAAAAGTATCCTTAACTTACCAGAATTAAAACTAGAAGAATTTCTTAGTTCTGGGAAAGCTGGACTAATAAGCATGGGAAAGGTGATGATTTTGAAGCTGTCAGTGAATGACCAACGGTGAACCAAGGACAGCCATTTTTCTGTGATGGTCCCATTGCTGTAACCATTTTGTTCCTTACCCTGTGTCCTCCCTGGTGACACAGGAACATGTGTGGTGATAGAAGGTTGTGAACATATTTATTGATCTAATACATTGCTAGCACCTCCACAAGGATTTTGCAAGGAAAAGCAACTTGCACAACTAACCTAACCTCAGTTAAAATAGCTTTTTTAAAAACATTGGTCTTATTTGGTTTGATACATCATGGCTGTATATTTATAAAAAGGACTTTGATGCATAAGCTACAGAGCTTGATGCCTTAAAAAAAATGCTGGTAGTTGTTTTCCAAGCTTTCTTTGCTGTAAACATTTAGCATTTCCTAGTTCTAGACAGTATTTGGACTTAGAAGAAAGGAAATTATTTTTGTTAACAAACTTCTTAGTTCAAAGTAAACGTATTATAATTAATCTAGTGTTCATTTTGTTTAGTTCTGTCTTAGCCATTCCACATGTCACAAAAGTGCTGGTTTTTGGGGTTTTTTTACAAGCCTAGTTCATGTGCAGTTTGTCAGTCCAGTCTTGTGGAACTGAACTTGTGCATACCTTCGTATTGAACTGGTGTCTAATCCATGTACTCAAACACAGCTGTTTCATGTCAGCACATGAAAATAATTTGAAGTGCATTGAAGAATATTGTAATTGCAATAAATAAATAAATTTAAAAATCCACACTCTACTTTTGTTTGAGGTTTTGTTTTGTTTTGTTTTGTTTTTTTTTTTTTTGCCAAGTGTTTGAAATGAAAGGATCTGCTTTCTCTGGTCGTGAAATACCAAGTCCTAACATCTTAACATGTCTCAAGCGTGGCTGTTGTCTGCAGCTGAAGAAGGTGGGTGTTGTAGTGTTGTCCAAATGCATATTTATGCCCTGATCCCAGGTGAGCTTTGCAGTACTGGGATGTCTGGGAAGGGGTGATGGGGATTTGGCCTGGCAGCTGTGCAGTTCTGGTGGGGAGGAGGAGTTGAAGCAGCTGTTGCAGAATGAGGCAGGACAGGCTCTGTGGCTCTCCTGCGGCCATGGAGCGCTGGAATGCCGGCTAGCCAGCTCCCTGGGTGACAGGAGGGACACACAAGAGAGGCTGCCCTGAGCCTCTGCCGAGGATTGTCAGGTGGCAGTGGGTGCAGCGGCGTGGGTGATGCTGCAGCATCACGAGGATCCCGAGGCGAAGAGAGAAGGAGAGGACACTCGCGTGCAGTCCAAGGAAGCTTTATTCAGAGGATGGGTCAGGGGCGAGTGACAAGGGAGCAGTGGCTAGGGTTTTTAAAGGGGGTTTGTCTAGGGGGTGGAAGCATAACATATCCAATGGGGAAACACTTGGGGAGGAGTAAGGAACCTAACAAGACCAATGAGGTAAACACAGGGGAGGGGAGAAGCTCTGGGACAAATGAACTGTTAGCATCAGGGTAATTGACATCGAACATTGGAGAGCAAAAGGGGTGGATCTAGGTTGATGGACACAGGAAGGGGAGCACAACTTGGATTGACAAGTCCAAACGAGGGAAGGGAGGAGCAGCGGGACCAGCACATTGAGTGGCAGCCAAGTGGTGGGAAAACTTAGGGGTAAAGAACGTGGAGAATCCATCATGAGGGGACAAAACGGGGGTACAAGGATCAAACCATTTCACTTAACTAGCATTGAACCACTAAATATTGCAATTGAAATAACTATAAAACTCATAGAAACACACTGCCACAAGGCTCACAAACAGCAGTGAAATCTGGGAACAGAAGAGGCAGATTTGACACATCAGCCTGATGGCCAGCAAGCAAATGACCTCATCTTGTTCATGTGAAGCCAGTTTTTGTGACATGGATCAGTTCCTGATGTTGTATTGGCCCAATTAATCCATCAAAAAAACCTAAAATTATGTGTAACAGCAATTTTAATTAAGTAGCTTAAAATATATAAAATTGAATACATTTGAAATATTGACAATATAATTTGGTTCTGGTAATAGCACATAAGCAAAAATAACCGTGTGGGGTACAGAGTGCAGGGCTTGACCCCCGTCACATCACGTACAAGCTTGCCAAGCCAAAATTCCCCTTTTATGCTGTTATGTCATCACCCTCCTCCTATTTTCAATTTGTCATACTTGTATCTCCGCCCTCATCACCACCTTCATCATGCATGCTCCACCACTCTTTTAGGTGGTCGCACCACTCTTTGGGGGTCATCCCTGATGAAGGCCTCTCCTCTTCCTCGATGTCCTTTGATTCACCTTTTGGATTACACATGCGCACCGAGCTGGTATAATGTAAGCCAAAGCTAATATAATGTAAGCCAATATTATGTTCTATCATCAAAGCAATAAATTTCATATAATTAGCATTTTCCTTGGACACAACCAAATTTTCCGTTCTTTCTGTTAATTTTAGTAATCATTATCTCTTGCTTCTTCCTGTCCTGAGCATCTGCAGGAGAAAGGGAGGGAGAACCCCTCCACTCCCTTTCTTGGCATTACACCTTTAACTGTTTCATTATTTCCAAATATTAGTTACTGTATCAATATTGATTACTGTTTCAATTTTATCAGCACGACTCACACCTATTTATTGCACTGGTGTTTTGCAGCAGAGGGAAATACCTGGATGAAAATCAGGCTGGGGATCCAGAGTGACACAGTGGCCGCACAGCTGCTGCTTTTGGCGGGGGCAGGCATTTCTGTATGTGCAGGTGCGAGTACAGCTGCCTTTGGTGATAAAAGCTTGTGATGAATACCAAGGCTGCCCCTTGCTGCGTAGGTGGAGTGTCTGTGAAGTCCAGCGTTTGGCTTGCCTGTGGTGTTCCTCTGAGCACTTTTTGTGACCACTTGTGGGCAATACCCCAAAGTCCCTGGTGACTCTGCACTGGCCTGCTCGAGCGCTGTCTTTCCTTGCTCGGAACTCACAGCTGCGTTCGGCACAATTGCTTGAGCTCGTGTTTTCCTTCATACAAAGAACAACTGTTAAAATATTTGGAGGACTTCCCCCGGGCTTCCCCCCCCCCATGCATGAAATAATCCACATCTGTGATTCCTTTTGCCCAGTAAAGCTGCAAACACCTGTTCAGAGAAGAACTTGGAGAAGGCTGAGGCTTGGCCTCTTGACTGACTGGCTTCTTCAAAGTTTTATCTTCCTGCACTGCTTAAGGTCTTGTTTGTTCAAGACTGGACATCAAATTAAACACACCTGTAAAATACAAGTTAAGATGCTGAGGCTGAGGAGTGTTTTGCTCTTCTGCTGTTAAAATGACTTGTATTTCTGAGTAGCTGAAACCAGAGGTGAGAATAAGAATGAAAATAGTTGAAACAGTGGAATTGCCTTTAGAAAGTTCTAAAGGAGAAATGGGAATTATTTTAAGAACATAAAAATAAGATGTACAAATGTTGCAACAAATGCTGTAAAATTTAGCACACTAAGGAAACTGGAAATATAAACAAAGCTTGTTTTTGCATAGAATTTGAGATGGACATTTTTGAAGACTCCCAGTTTGTACCACCCCATTTGTCTCCCATATGTATTTTAGAGCTGAGTTTCAGTTTTAAAAATTGGGATTTCTAGAAGGTGCCTGTACTGAATGTCAAGGGCCTTGGCATGTAATTGCAATAGCATGCTCTTCTACAGGGGCTGTGGGAGAGAAACATTTTTGCTTTTGGATCTCTACAACATCAGGGACTGTACATGGATATTGCTGTGTTCTGATATTCAGAAGATGAAATGTTCAAATGCATGGATTGACTTCATAATGTTAGTAAAGGTTAATAAGAGTTGCATGTACTGCATGAGTGGTGCAAATACACCAGCGTATGTCTGTGCAGATTTATTTTTTGATATCCTGAAAGGCACTGCTGTATTTGTATAGTTCAGCTAATTTTTAGATCCTGTAAACATCCTACACTCAGCTATAATAAGTGGTGGGGCTGGGGGGTGGATGTTTTCTTCAACTGATTAGGAAAGGCAGCTTTCCTCAATGACCAAGTGACATTGACAAGCAGGGAATCCTATTTTTCAGTAGTATTTAGTATCGTAAGCACTAATTTCTATGGAAGCAGTGTGTATTTCTAGAAATCTGTTCATACTGAAATTATGATTCTGGCTGTATAAAGGCCTACATGTTTGTTGGGAAACAGTCTTTAACTGATGGGATCTGTATCTTTCTAATTGCAAATAAGCTGTGACAATATATCTTTGCTTGAAAAGCAACATCTCATACCCAGATGACAGACATAATCTAAAACCTTATCTTGAATGTTGAGTTCTTAGTTGCAGCAGTGATTTATTGCTTATTATCTACTTGATCATTGTCAAAGGAGGAATAGATTTACAGGGTACTGTAAAATCAATTCCCAAACCAAGAGATCATTAAACTAGTAAAACTACTAAGCTTTAACAATTTCTGTTGCCCTTTTATCTTAAAAAATGATAAATATCTTTGATAGGGGAAATCTGCATAAGAGAAAAAAGAAGACAAGCATCTCTTGTTTTTCTAGTAGCTCTTCTTCTATCATTTCTTAGAATCACTGATGATTCTGCTGATTGATGTGTTATTAAATGAAGTATGGCTTCAGCATTTGGGCATTCTTAGGTGCCAAAAAACAGAAGAACTTAAATATTTTTATTCAAATAGAAGAATGAGGTACATGGAATTCCTCATCTTCATAAACAGCTTCTTGAGGATCACTTTTACAGTCTGGTGTCCTTGTTAATATTTGAAAGGCTCTGACTCTAAAATCTAATACTTTTTACTTATGAGGTCAAATACATTGTAAAAGTCAGTAAGAGGATTTGTCCTCATTGAAATTCACACACATGAGCCCCATTTTGCTATAACTGAACTTTTTGTTATGCTTCTATTTTTGCTTACAAACTGAAGAGGTCTTTTTAATATGTAGAAGTCCTTGTGGGCAGGTGTTTTGCAATATATGGCACTGGAGGATATTGCATGGAAGAGATAACATCAAATCCTGTATCTGAAGATCACCCGTGTGAACACTGCAGTGCAACCATGTGTTTGGTGTGTGTGCACTTCTGCATGTACAAAACTGTTCTATATTTTTATTCAGGGCATCTGCTTAACAAAACATATCTCCAGCTGGGATGAACTAGGGAAGAATGAGGGATGCAAGCTCTCCTCCTCAGGAGAGATGATGTAATTAGAAACAAGCTTATCTCCAGAAAGAATCTGCATGTCTGTCTATTCTATTCCATTTCCCAGAATCAGGTGCCTCATGGTGTCCCTGACTCTGCCTGAGAGAACTTTTCTCAAGTTCTGTTTCGTCCATCCTGCTGTGGGTTGCCATGCTCTGGGAATGCCGGGTTTTGACAGCTGTGCTGAAGCAGGAGGAAAGTGCCAAGACAGAAGGATTTCCCTGTGAGGCTGTGACGTCTTGCAGCTTTGCTGTCACTTGTTATGTGGTGGTGAGTGCTGACACACTCCTGACCCATCCCACTGTGATTTCTGCCCTTGCTCCCAGGAAGGAGCACACTCTGTAACCAGCACAGCTCTCTGGTGTCCCGGGGAGCTCTCGCATTCCTCAGACTGATCTGTGTCCGTGTCCTCGCTTGGTGTACTGTGTGCACCACAAGTTCATGGAGACACACAATAGTACAGTGACCAAAAAAAAAAAAAAAAAGAAAAAAAAAAGAAAAGAAAAAGTTTGATGGCAAGAAGGAATTCTCAAATCAACAGTTAGTGC